CTCTTGTTTCTCAACTTATTTTTTTCCTCAAAATTCAGGTCTGGCTCTGGCATCTCCATTTCAGAACATTTATAATGGCTTGTGGGGGTATAACTGTGTGTTGGCATGCATAGCAATTGGAGGAATGTTCTATGCTCTGACATGGCAGACCCATCTTCTAGCTATTGCTTGTGGTAAGAGTTTCCCTCACAGTGAACTAGATAACTATATTTTCATTCATAATTATCATACTCTGTCTTAATTATGACTAAGAGGCTAATGTACAAAGACAGTGTGAGGCAATAGAACTTGACATTCCAAAATAGCAATACTGCAAAATAAACATTTTATAGTTTAAGAAGTTAAAATATAAATAATGCAGGCCACAGATACTGCAAATTTAAATTTAGCAGTGACAGCTGTGTAAGGGTACAGAGACAGGTCTCTGCAACTCTGGAGACAATTAGTGTCATTGAAGAAGTTTATTTTTGTTTAGAAACTCAGGCAGAAATGTTTATTGTGGAGTATAAATAGAATAGTACTAAAATCTGACAACATAAAATTCTGAAAAGAAACTGAATGCTATTTATATTTTAAATGAAAAGCAGAAAATTAAAAATGTTAGAAAATACCAAACATTAGCAAACATTACTAGTAGTAATAGGAATAAATACTGAACAAATTGTCAAATTAACAGATTAGTTTCCTGTTTTCTTTAGCATTTTTCTGTGCATACTTGGGATCAGCCATTGGAAATGTGATGTCTGTGGTAAGTGTAACAATCTAAGATTTAAAGCCTTTTCTCTTTATTATTAGGTTTTGTGGGTTTATTTACTATGTTAACTCTGTTGTCAGCATATACTTTAATTTAATAAAATATTTAAATCGCCTATCAGTCATAACCTTCAATACTTTGAATTCTGTCTTATACTAATTCTTACACTGTAGACATTATCTGAGTATAAAGTATGTTTTAATGTTAGTGAATGGAAAATCAATCAAAATCATGTTTACAGTAGATTCCATTTTGCATAACTGTACAACGTCATGTAATAGTACTACTGAATGCAAATCAGGTCTGTTAGGGCAAAAAACATGATTTTCTATGCTGACTACAATGAGCTGGGAACAGTATAGACTAAACCCCTTTTGGTCTAACAAGTGAGCAACTTAGTCTCTGTGATATGTCTACAAGGATGGCTATGCAGAACTTAGGCAAAGTGTATGTTGTCTGTATGAACAATGCATATAATTTTCTCTGTAGAAATGGCTGTTACTCTTGGTATGCAAAAAACAAGAATTTGAAAGTGATTCTGGACAAGATTATTGGATGAATAATAACTAAAGATGGGTGGGCATTTACTGTATATTAGATGTTAAACTCTTTTTGTCTCGATCTGAAATGTGATTCTGAAAACTGCTACCTTATGATTTGTTTTTAGTTTGGGTTGCCTGCCTGTACTTGGCCCTTCTGCCTCTCTGCACTCACATTCCTGCTGATCACTACTGAGATCAAAGGCATATGCAAACTACCTCTCGCCAAGGTGACCTACCCCGAAAAAAATCTTCGATATTTCAGAAAAATGAAAAAAGCTGAGAAGGCTGAGAAACTGCAGAAGGAAAAGAAAGAGGACCTTCAAAAGAAGAAAGAAAAAAATGATGTAGATCTGATTCAAAATAATAATCTCACGGAGGTGCTCACAGTAGAAAAGCCTTTTCTTTTACAGAATATGAATGCTGAAGAGGTTGATATGACACTGAAAGGCACTGAAGATGATCTGACAGAAGTGAAAATTGAAGAAGTGATGGATTCTGTTTAAAGCTGATGAAAAATGACTCTTAAGACATCTATAAGTTTTCCTTCTCTACCGACAAAATTCTCACAATAGTAGACCCTTTTCTGAATTACAATTATTTTTTTCTTAACAAAATCACTTAAAAAGACTTTTACAGATGACAAAAGGAAATGTGTCATAAAATGTATTTTTTTTAAACAAAGAATTGTTGTAAATATATTTTTCTTAATAAAATACACATAATGAGAATAGACTACATCTTACATCTTCACACCCAAAAAAAAAAGAAAAATCCAGGATAAAGTAGACGATGTTTACATAGCCAAAGCAGGAAATGTAAGTGAAAAATAAAGACCCAAACATTCTAGCATTTGTATAGTGATTTACTATATTTAGCTATATTACTATATTAAGTGATTTAGTATGTAGCAAAGACGGTGGGGTGTGCTTCATGGTTAACAATTCCTGGTGCACAGATGTGGAGATTATTTCAATATCATGCTCTACACATCTTGAACATTTGACAATAAAATGTTGCCCTTTCTATCTCCCGAGGGAGTTCACATTGGTAGTTCTCACAGTGGTGTATATTCTGCCGCAGGCAAATTTCACAAAGGCACTGGATGAACTACACTCTCACCTTAAGAGACACGAGAATACACATCCTGAGGGGGCATTCATCACAGCGAGTGATTTCAACGGTGAGAACTTGAAGAAAACAATGCCTAATCTACATCAACACATCGACTGCCCGACGTGCAGAACAAACTGTCACGGACGTCCAAAGGGACTAACCGTGGGGAGCAGGAGAGCGGAAAAAGACCCATATGTGTAGCGGCGAGACGGGAAAAAGGCCCGGGCTCATTAGTGCAAAGAGTTCAGGAATGCCGTATAAAAACCTATGCCCTCAAGGAGCGGACGTGGGGCGCCCTGGTGCTAGGCGGGTCTCAGGACATCCGAATGTCAATGCTGAGTGAGGACAGAGTGCAAGACCCGGAAATATATAGCCCAAGGGAAAGAGAGGGACAGGAAGGACAGCAGACTGGAAACTAGGGACAGGACAGAGAAGGAGCGCCCTCTGGCTGCAGAGGGCGTGACACAAACATGTTGGACAATGTTTACACTCCCTTCCGGGATGGTTACAAAGCACTCCCCCGACCTCCTTTCGGCAAATCCGATCACGCCTCCATTCAGCTACTTCCTGTTGACAAGCAGAAGCTCAAACAGGAGAGGCCAGCGTTAAGAACCATTCAATTTTGATCAGATGAATCGAATTTTATACTAAATCACTGTTTTGCTACCACTAACTGGCAGATCTATGGCCATGGACTATGTTACTGGCTACATCAGTAAATGCATTGAAGACATGGTTCCCAGGATTACTGCTCGCACATATCACAATCAGAAACCGTGGGTAAATGGTGAGATAAGCACCAAACTTAAAGTTAGGACAGCTGCTTTCAATTCTGGCGATATGGATACATACAAAAAATCCAGATACAACCTCAGAAAAAGCTACCAAAATAGAGTAGAACTACAGAGTAGAATTAGATTCATATTATCACGCCTGCAACACATGGACCATGTGGAGTTGTATACGCACCATTACAGACTACAAAACGCAACCCAGCTATATCCCACAACAGTCCGCCTCTCTTCCTGATGAGCTAAATTCATTCTATGCTCAGTTTGAGGTCAGTAACACAGATCCAGTCAGGAGGATTCCAGAAATTCAAGACGAAAACCCACTGATCATATCCAGAGCGGATGTGTGTGAAGTTTCTAAAAAGACCAATCCACGCAAGGCTCCTGGCCCTGATGCTATCCCTGGCCGTGTTCTGAAGGCATGTGCAGACCAGCTGGCAGAAGTCTTCTCGGACATATTCAATCTCTCTCTAGCTCAGTCTATAGTTCCTTCTTGCTTTAAGAAAACCACCATTGTCCCTGTTCCTAAGAAATCCAGAGTCAGCAGCCTGAATGACTACCGCCCTGTTGCACTCACATCAGTTATTCTGAAGTACTTCGAGTGGTTGGTCAAAGCATACATCACCTCCTCACTGCCTGACACCCTAGACCCACTGCAATTTGTGAATCGCCAGAACAGGTCAACAGAAGATGCTATTGCCACTGCCCTCACTACTGCCCTCTCACACCTAGATAAGAAAGGAACATATGTGAGAATGCTGTTTGTTGATTACAGCTCAGCATTCAATATCATAGTGCCCTCAAAGCTTGTCATCAAGCTCCAGGACCTGGGACTGAACACCTCCCTCTGTAATTGGATCCTGGACTTCTTGACAGAACGTCCGCAGGTGGTGAGACTGGGCACCAACATATCCTCTACCCTGACTCTAAACACTGGAGCCCCACAAGGCTATGTGCTTAGCCCTGTCCTCTACTCCTTATTTATCCATGATTGTGTCGCCAGGCATAACTCAAACTCCATCATCAAGCTTATGGACGAAACAACAGCCATTGGCCTGATCACAGATGGTGAAAATTCTGCGTACAGGAAGGAGGTTGAAACCCTGGCAGCATGGTGCCAGCAGAACAACCTCTCTCTGAACATCAGTAAGACTAAGAAGAAGATTGTGGGCTATAGGAAACACCAGGGAGGACATCACACACCTATCTATATCAATGGGACTGCAGTGGAGAGGGTCAGCAGTTTTAAGTTCCTGGGAGTTATCATCTCAGAGGACTTAACCTGGACCCACCACACCAACACTGTAGTCAAAACAGCACGGCAGCGCCTATTCTTTCTCCGTAGTCTAAAGACGTTTGGCATGCCATCACATATCCAGGCCAACTTCTATAGGTGCACTATTGAGAGCATCCTGACTGGTTGCATCACTGCCTGGTATGGGAACTGCTCCTCCCGGGATTGCAAAGTACTGCAGAGGGTGGTGAAGTCAGTGCAGCTCATTACCGGCTGTGAGCTACCAAACATCCAGGATATCTACTCAGCCAGATGTCTTAAGAAGGCCAGGTCCATTCTCAAGGACCCCAGTCATTCCAGTCACAAACTGTTTTCCCTCCTACCGTCCGGTTAACGATATCGAAGCATTCTGTCCAAGTCCAACAGATTACGGAACAGCTTCTACCTCCAGGCAATAAGACGGCTAAATAGCCAACCTGCAGCTCCTTTAGCACACCACCTGTAATGGCTACATGAACGCACAGTTTTCACTGTATTCAGCATATTTGCACTACTTGTATATATTGCATACACCATGGACACATAGCAGCTCTATTCATATTGAGTTTTATTAAATTTCTATTACATTATTATTATTATGTAACCTTAATTTTGTGATTTTTGTGATTCTTGTAATTTTTGTGAGCTCGCAGAAAAGACATTCCATTTCCAGCAACTACTGCTGCATGCTGTATTGTTGTGCATTTGATAAATAAACTTTGATTTGATTTGATTTTTAACCCAAAGTGCCCCAAATGTTTCACAGGCCAAGGAAGAAGCCTTAGTTATCCACCATAAAAATGCAGCATGGCAGTTAATTATTTGCCAGTAGCCCACTACACAACAGATCTGATAGAGAAGGGAGAAATTGCTTCACCGATTGACTAAAGGGATAAATTTAGGAAGGATTTCAACCAGGATCACTGGGATGAACATGGTTAAACCTCTGAACAGGACCATGGCATTTAAATGTTGAAGTAGTGAGGACCTTGGTTTAGCATCTCACTTGAAGTAAAGCACCTCCCAAAGCATAGTGTCCCTAGTCAGTGTCCTGGGGCAATGGTTTGGAAATACCTATAGCTCTGCTAACACTACTTAAAATAGCAGCATGTCAAGGATAGCATAAGGAGCACCTGGTTGGACCGTATGTGGTGCTGAGACTGTAGGTAGTAGCTAGTATAGGTGTCCAGATCCCAAAGACAAAAGGCAAATATCTAGTCAAGGTAGAAGAGCTAGGTCGGGTATCACAAGAGTCAGGTCAGGTAGTATCCAAATCCCAAACGAGTGAGACGAAGTCGAAGAAGGAGGAAACAAGGTTGGGTAGCAATAAATCAGGTCGAGATTAGTTAACGCACGCCAGAGAAAGCCAAGGGTAATTCTCAATTGTGAGCGGGGACTGAGTGGAGTGAGAGGGTAGAAATAATAATAATAATAGCTTACACTTATATAGCGCTTTTCTGGACACTCCACTCAAAGCGCTTTACAGGTAATGGGGTCTCCCCTCCACCACCACCAATGTGCAGCATCCATAGTGCAGCCATAGTGCACCAGAACGCTCACCACACATCAGCTATCAGTGGGGAGGAGAGCAGAGTAATGAAGCCAATTCATAGATGGGGATTATTAGGAGGCAAATGGGAAATTTGGCCAGGACGCCGGGGTTATACCCCTACTCTTTTTCGAGAAACACTCTGGGATTTTTAATGACCACAGAGAGTCAGGACCTCGGTTTTACATCTCATCCGAAGGATGGCACCTGTTTACAGTATAGTGTCTCCTTAACTATACTGGGGCATTAGGACCCACATAGACCACAAGGTGAGCACCCCCTGCTGGCCCCACTAACACCTCTTCCAGCAGCAACCTTAGTTTTTCCCAGGAGGTCTCCCATCCAGGTATTTACCAGGCTCACACCTGCTTAGCTTCAGTGGGTTACCAGTTGTGAGTTGCAGGGTGATATGGCTGCTGGCTGCAATAGGGAAGAGCGTGAGGAATGACAATTGATTCATTAGTGCGCGGGTGTTGGCAGTGAGAGGTGCTGGTAGGAATGCGGTTCATGACACAGCACAGTTTTCCTTAAAGGTCTCCCATACTTAGAACAAATAAAACAAATAAAAAATGTCTCGCTATGTACTGTAATTGTGCTTGTCTATGTCTTTTTTGTACGTTTTCTATGTACAGTATGTTAAAAATGAAAATGGCAAAAGGGGTAGTCTTATGCAGGTCAGGGGAGAAACCAGTCCTTGATGAAAAGATTGTATTGAGCTGTAATGGGTTTGAGGAAAAGGTCAGGTGGGAAGAGTCCTCAAAGAACACTACTTACTGTACATTTTAGCTAACTTCAAAGAGGTGACGGCAAACAGAAACAACAAGAAGGGGGGGGGGTGTTGATTCAAGGCCTGCAGGATTAACAGAAGGTTCCAGCATGACCTACTGAGTGACAAGGTAGAGTATGCTA